GTTAAAATGCAGATTTACATCATGAAAGAAGGAACCGAAAAAAAAAAAAAAAAAAAAAAAAAAAAAAAAAAAAAAAAAAAAAAAAAAAAAAAAAAAAAAAAAAAAACGTGAAGAAAGGGGAGGGAAGGCAAAGGAATGTCTTACGTTAAAGAACAGCATGTATTCAAGGGAACAGAATGATGAACGCAATAACAAATTTGTGCAATTACGGTACAAAGAACAACAGCAAACAAAAACGAGAATAGAGGAACAAAAGGAACCCCAGTAAATAGAAGGATGAATCAGATAACATATGAAGAAACTGTCAGAATATCATGTTTCTCTAGTCTGCAGTGGGGTACTCAATAGTGAGTACAACCCTGTTAGGGTTTCCTATATGTACCCAATTGCTTTCTAGTGCAATAATCCTTTCTCACTTCAATTTCTCTCGTCTATCTTTCTCACATGGTATAGAGCTAGTTTTTCGATCCTTCCTCGGGCCCACCACTTAAAAAAAAAATTTCCTGCCCTGCTGCCCGAAGCGCCCTTCGCGGCCCCTTCGCGGCCCCTTAACGGCCCCTTCGTGGCCCCTTAGCGACCCCGTCGCGGCCCTTCGTGGCCCCTTCGCGACCCTGTCGCGGCCCTTTGTGGCCCCTTCGCGACCCTGTCGCGGCCCTTCGTGGCCCCCCCCATTCGCGACCTCGTCGCGGCCCTGTCGCGGCCCCGTCACGACCTAGCCCCGGCCCTGCCCCGTCGCCCGACCCTGCTCCGTCGCCCCGTCGCGGCCCCCCCGTCGCGGCCCTCAGTCGCGGCCCCCCCGTCGCGGCCCCCCGTCGCGGCCCTACGTCGTGGCCCCCCCCCATTCGCGACCTCGTCGCGGCCCTGTCGCGGCCCCGTCACGACCTAGCCCCGGCCCTGCCCCGTCGCCCGACCCTGCTCCGTCGCCCCGTTGCGGCCCCCCGTCGCGGCCCTCCGTCGCGGCCCCCCATCGCGGCCCCACGTCGCGGCCCCCCCGTCGCGGCCCCCGTCGCGCCCCCCCCCCCGTCGCGGCCCCCCGTCGCGGCCCCTGTCGAGGCCCCTGCCCCGGCCCTGCCCCTGCCTTGCCGCGGCCCCTGTCGCGGACCCTGCCCCGGTCCTGCCCCTGCCCTGCTCCGGCCATGTCGCGGCGCACCCGGGGCCCCCCCCGCCCCCCCCGCCCCTCTTTTCCCGTCGCCTGTCGTGGCGACCTGAGGGGGGCCGCGCGATCTGGGGGGGGGGGGGGGCGGCGGGCGTCGCCCCTTCTGCCGCTTGTGTTGGCGCCCTGGGCGGCCGCGCGTCGCCCCCCCCCCCCCCCGGTACCCTCCCTACCCGCCATCCCGCCCTGCCCTGTGTTAGGGTTTGGGGGTGGCGAGTAGGGGGTGGCGGGTGTGTGGAATCCCCTGCTCCTCCTCCTCCGTCTCCCACTGCTGCAGCTGCCGCTGAGGGGGGTGGGTGTGTGGGAGCCGATGGAGTGGTGCTAGGGGGTGGGTGTGTGGGAGCTGTCGGAGTGGTGCTAGGGTGTGTCGTGTGAGCAGAGTTAGAGGTGCAGCAAGGGGTGTGTGAAAGGGGGGTGGGACAGTTGGGGGAGGTTGAACGGAGGCGGTCGTCGTGTTGTCAGCAGCACCAGTAGTCCGGGGCGCTGCTCCGGTAGCCCAGTCGTAGCCAGCTGCGCCAGTCGCCCGTGGGTCCGTTGCTCCTGCCGCTCAGAGTTAGCCGCCGAGCCAGTTACTCCTGTAGTCCGGGGCGCTGTTCCGGTAGCCACTGTGCCAGTGTGACTCCTGTTGCCCGAGTGTCTGCAGCTTCAGTCGTCGCCTCCTATCTCCTCTCCTCTTACAGTCCCGCCTCCTCCTCACTTGCCCTCTGTGATAGCCTCTAGCTTGGCTTATAATTGTGAACCTTAAACTGTTGCTTGTGCTCAGAATGTGTGGTGACATTGTGATCCACCCTGAGCTTATTTTGCTTTGCTTCTTGTGCTGATCATACCCCACTTTGACTATGGGGGTGTGTCAGAATATCATGTTTCTCTAGTCTGCAGTGGGGTACTCAATAGTGAGTACAACCCTGTTAGGGTTTCCTATATGAGACCGGAAAAGAAAGAACATAGGATGGACAGGAGAAAAAAGAGAAGGAAACAACAACCAAAGAGCCTATCTAATCATGGAAATGTAAAGAGCGCGATAGGGAATGGACAACGGATGCAAGGTGAACGACGTAAGGAATATTGTTGAATAGTAGGAGTAGGGCCTAGGCTTAGTAGCCTAGGCCAAAGGGAGTCGAGAGAGTTTAGCAAGAAGAAGTGAGGGTTTTCACTATAGCAAACAAGGAACATATAGGCAAGAGAACAAGAACAAGAGGTGCACCACCAAAAGTTAATAATAACTACACTAAACTACAGCTACAGGCAGTTGCACAAATATATTATGACACTCCCCCATAACTGCCTGCAGCAGGAGTTTGTGCAGAACACAACCTGCAGGGGTACACCAGCAACAGCAAGCACGGTAACAGAGCAGGTACAGCAGCAAAGGGGCAGGCGACAGCAAGACACTCCTGCCACCCCCTTACTCTCCTCCCCCCCCCCGAACACAGGAGAGGCTGCAGGGAGAGAGAGGAGGCGGGCTGGCGCTGGCTGGTCACCCCCTCCATCCCCTCACCCTCCCCCTCCCCCTCCCCCTCCCCCCCACACTGCTGCAGGAGCAGCAGAGGGGGGAAGAGAGGAGAGGTGGAGGGACGGCTGCTGGTTGGTCTCACACCCGCCACCCCAGTGCCACTCCCCCGGCTCCCCCACACCTCACACCCTCCCCCCCAGCGGCAGCTGCAGTAGTGGGAACGAAAGGAGGAGGAGGGGAAGGGAAGCACACCACCCATCACCCCCACACCCGCCACCCCCATACCCTCCCCCCCACGGCTGCAGGGAGACGAAGGAGGAGGGGGTGGGCGGGGAGAAAGCCGCAGAGCGGCTACAGAGGGTCGGCGCGGGTAGGTCAGGGGCGGCTGCAGCGAGTGCAGGCGCGGGGTGAGGCAGAGGCGGCTGCACCGAGTGCAGGAGCGGGGGCGGCTGCTCCAAGGGCAGGCGCTGAGTGGTGCAGGGGCGGCTGCAGCGAGTGCAGGCGCGGGTGAGGCAGGGGCACCGCCGCGGGCGCCAGGGGCGGGTCCGCGGCGGCTCAGGACACCGTCGCGGGCGCCAGGGGCGGTTCCGCGGCGGCTCAGGGCACCGTTGCGGGCGCCAGAGGCGGATCCGCGGTGTCTCAGGGCACCGTCGCGCACCACGGGGCACGCGACGGGCAGTTTAGGGCACCGTCGCGTGCCACGGGGCGCACGACGGGCAGGGCACCGTCGCGTGCCACGGGGCGCACGACGGGCAGGGCACCGTCGCGTGCCACGGGGCGCGCGACGGGTAGAAAAGATGTCACTCGCCACCCGGGGGCGGGACAGGACGAAAATCGCCACGCGCCCGAGGCGCGCGACCGGAAAAACAGCAGCGGAAGCGTGAGGCGGGCCCACAGGCCTGGACTTAACAGTCTCTGATTCCATGTTGAATAGTAGGAGTAGGGCCTAGGCTTAGTAGCCTAGGCCAAAGGGAGTCGAGAGAGTTTAGCAAGAAGAAGTGAGGGTTTTCACTATAGCAAACAAGGAACATATAGGCAAGAGAACAAGAACAAGAGTTGCACCACCAAAAGTTAATAATAACTACACTAAACTACAGCTACAGGCAGTTACACAAATATATTCTGACAAATATCACGCGATGAGATAAGCTGAAGTCCTACAGAAAGCCTAGAACCTAATACGGAAACAGTTTGTAGCCCCTTAGAACGACCAACACTAAGTAGACGAGTAGAATACGACCATAAAAAACATGCTAGTCTAACTTAATTTATTACTATCACCTAACTTAGTTTTAAAACATTAGTAGAACAACTTCTGACCTTGGGAAGCTTGGGAAGGTGGAGCTTGGGAAGCTGGAGCAAACCAAGAGAAACCAAGAGAGGAAGAGAAGAAAGAGACGGGAAACACAAACCCTAAAGATTGCAGATTCGTCGCAAAGAAAAGTTAACTATAATTCAAAACACATATTTCCAATGGTGCTTCAAGCGCAGTCGATCGAAGGTGATTGTGGTATATAAAAGTGGAAAGTTCGATTCTTGCGCGCGAGTGTTTTATTCCATGCGGACATAATTCAATATTAAGTGCCAAACCTGTTACAACAAAATTCGATATTATATATAATATTGTATGGTGTGAAATATTGCAAAACGCTTCGCAACCTAGGACGACTTGTCGCCTCTAGTTTTTTTTTTTTTTTTTTTTTTTTTTTTTTTTTTTTTTTTTTTTTTTTTTTTTTTTCTCGATTGCTTTTACAAACATATCCGCTAAGAGTGTGCATGCACATGAACATTTTCTCATGGCTCACAAATTGCATACACCAATCCCATTGAAATATCAAGATATTCCTCTCAAGCCAAACCAAATGTACAAGCTGAAAAATAAAAGGCACGCCAAACAATATCTAGCTCCAAGTGCATACCTCTCCACATTATACAGGACTGTTGTCACAAGGACCCACATGCCTAAATCACTTAAACAATGTTCTACTAAAACCCTGACCATCAGTCATGGCCATCACATCACCCTTTCTCATAATCATGACCCCACGAAGGACAGCAAATACTGCTAGTGACTCCTCTTGTGGCTCAAACTGCTCCTCTGCTGCCCTCACCATCACTGCCTGCCTCGTGCTGCCTGCCTCTGCCACCTTGCAAGAGCCTGACTGACACCTTGCCTCCTGAACGAGATCCGAGCCCCTCAGGAGGTAACCTTGCCGCCTTGCCACCTTGCCTCTTACTGCATCATTCTAATTCAACTTTTGAGGCGCCTCAAAAGCCACCTTGCGAACTTGCCTCTTACTGTATGATCTTAACCCTGGGCACGGGCTGGCTACCTCTCATGCCATTGCCCTCAATGTCTGATCATGATTCTGACAAAAGAAAAAGCACCTGCTCTCACCCTCTCACATCCCCCTTAGGGTGCTTCTCCTTGTCTTTTCTGTGCTGCAGCCATCCCACCAAGGAGGGCAGCGACGACAGCTCAAACTGCTCCTCTGCTGCCGCCCCCACCCTCACCGCATCCTCCTGCCTTACGCTGCCTGCTCCCTCCACCTTGTGCGACCCAACACCCTCAATATGAGCATGCTGATTTGTGTTGAACTGGTGAGACTCGTGGGAATCCAGAGGCTGGAGAGGGTGGTGGGGCCTGTGGTGGAGTGAGTCGGGCGATTGCTGGTTTGGACTTGATCCACTTGGCATAGGGTCGAACCTCCCTGAGGCAACTGGCTTGGAAGGAGCACTGGAGTGAGGACCAGTGGAGGCAGCACCGGAGGAAGCTGAAGTAGCCGCTGCTGCTTTAGTTGCAGGAGCAGCGGTGTTGGTCCTACTAGGGATGTCAGCAGGAGCAGCGGCAGAGGCAGTAGGCTTTGCAGAATCTGCAGCAGGCTTTGCAGCCGGTTTAGCAGCAGCAGTAGAGTGGGCGTTTGCTGTGTCTCCGTTTGTTTCCCCTCCAGTTTCTCCTCCCTCACCACCTCTCCAGTGTCCCCATGGCAGAAAATCCACGAGGTTGAATACCACCGAGGGAATGTGAGCCGCTGCGCCGCCCACGTGCGACGCTGCTGCCCCAACATGCGATGCTGCTGCCCCGACCGTGCCGCCCACGTGCGACGCCGCCGCCCCCACTGTGCCGCCCACGTGAGACACTGTAGAGCCGACTGTGGAGGCGGCAGCACCGACCGCACCAGCAGCCGAGGAGAAGAGCGGGCTTACAACGCGGATGGGGATTACAGTTGCATCCTTCAGGGAGTCTGGGAGGATGGGGGGTGGGAGGAAGGGGGAGCAAGGGAGACACTGTAGAACCGACTGTGGAGGCGGCAGCGCCGACCGCACCGGAAGCAGAGGAGAAGAGAGGGCTGACCACACGGATGGGGATCACTGTGGCGTCTTTGAGAGAGTCTGGGGGGGCGAGGAATGTAGGGGAGACCGGGGGAGGAGGAGTACATAAAAGAAATATGAGAGAAGAGAGGGCTGACCGCACGGGATTGGGATCACTGTGGCGTCCTTGAGAGAGTCTGTGGGGGGGGGGGGGGAGGGGGGGTAGGAAGAGAGGGCTTAGCACGTGAATGAGAGGGCTGACCGGCGCCAACCGCACCAGTAGCGGAGGAGAAGAGAGGGCTTACCACGCGGATGGGGATCACTGTAGCGTCTTTGAGAGGGTCTGGGAGGAGGGGGGAGGGAGGAGGACGGGGCAAGGGACGAGGAGTGTGTGAGGGAGAGGCGGTTGGAAAGGGGGACGGGTTGGCGGGAAAAAGTCCTAAACGAACTTAAATGACGGAGGGAGGGCTCACCAGGAGGATGGAGTATCAGGGCATATTCGGAAGATTTTGGGTTCTGTTTTACAGGGCTATGTCCCTACACGCACGCAGCTCACTGAGAAATGTCAGAGGCTCACCGGCATAATTCAGAAGATTTTGTTAAAGAGGCAGCGTTGGGATCATGCACAGATCAGCATGGTTACTACCTGAGCACAGCACGTGGTTACCTGGTTACCAGCGGCTACCAGCACTTACCAGTAGTGTGTTGCTCCTTGGCCCTGGTGCTGCTGGTGCTGGCGGCAAGGCGGGACGTCCGTGCCGGACTGCGCACTCCCTGAGAGATCTCGTGGCTGTATGGGCAGGCAGACTTGGGGAGAGATGGAACGATGGTGGCATGGGGGGAGAGAGAGATAGGCGAGGAGTTGTATTGGTGGTGCGCGTAAGACATGTTCGAGGTCTCTGAAATACAACAGAGCAGACAAGGCTCCTACCTGAGACCTCACGTGAATTTTACCCGAGGTGTCCCCTGAGGATCCACCAGAAAATCGCCTGAGCCCCACCTGAGGTGTCACCTGATAATCGACAGAGTCTCACCTGACGCACCTGAGGTTTATGACAGCCTGTCAGGCTTACAGGCATCTTGGTCCCCCGCAGCTCCAGCCACTACATGAGACGGCGGTTGAAATAACTTGAGACTAAAACTCACCTGAAAAAACACCTGAGGAATCACCTGAGGTCGCTGAGCTCCATGGTGAGGCCGCTGATCTCCATGCCTGACAGCCTCACAGCCGCCATCTTCCCGGGTGCACTGCCTGAAACACTGGAAATCACCTGAAGAATCACCTGGGAACACACCTGAGGTCGCTGAGCTCCATGGTGAGGTCGCTGATCTCCATGCCTGACAGCCTCACTGCCGCCATGGTCCCCGGCAGCTCCTCCCCACTACCTGATACAATGTTGAAACCACCTGAGGAATCACCTGAGGTCGCTGAGCTCCATGGTGAGGTCGCTGATCTCCATCCCTGACAGCCGCACTGCCGCCATCGTCCCCGGAAGCTCCTCCCTTGCCGTTGCTGCCAACCGCTCCACAGCCTGTGCCGCCCTCCGCACCGCCTGGTGGTGGGAACGAGAAGCGGAGGACAAGGGAATGGCGAATGGGCAGCAGGCATTGATACGCACACGCCCCATTGGCGACTCTTCCCTCGCCGTCCCTCGCCGTCCCTCGCCGTCCCTTGCCGTCCCTCGCCGTCCCTCGCCGTCCCTCGCCGTCGCTGCCAGCAGCTCAACTGCCTGCGCCGCCCTCCGCACCGCCTGTAGAGGGGTGGTGGAGAGATGGCGAGTGGGCGTGTGCAGGCACTAGTGGGTGTGCGCACATGCCAAGAGCAGCTCGTCCCTCGCCGTCGCTGCCAGCAGCTCAACTGCCTGCTCTGCCCGCCGCACCGCCTGTTTAACTTGAGGAGCCAGGGGTGGAGGACGAGGGGATGGTGAGTGGGTGCGTATGAGACGCGAGAACCAGCAGGCACTGGTGTGCGTGCACACGCCAAGCATAAGCATCGCTGCCAGCCGCTTCACCGCCTCCGCCTGGCGTGTTTTGAGACGTCTCAAAACTGCCAGCCGCTTCACTGCCTCCGCCTGGCGTGTGAGATGAGAAGGAGGGATCGAGGGACGGTGCGTGGGTGTGAGTTTCTGAGACGCCTCAAGAAAGGGGAGGAAGCGCGTGGTGTGGTGTGGTGTGGTGTGGTGTGGAGTAGTGTGGTCACATGACATGGCATGGAAGAAGAGAACGATCCAGAGCGCAACAGAGAGACTGGCAAGAGAGGTATGCGAGGAGTGAGTGGTACGAGGAGTGAGTGGTACGAGGAGCGGGAGAGGTACGCGAGGACGCACTAGGAGGGCGCGGACGGCGACCAATCAGGACGTACCAGGAGAGCGGGAATCGCGGCGAATATTATGCCGGAGAGCGCCGCGGAGATCTGCACGCGAAGCAAAAGGGGCCGTCAGAGATTAGAAGCGACAGAAACCAATCCCTGGGCCTAGGGTAAAAAGAAGAGTATCACACACAAGGACCGTGAGTGCAGGGGGTGAGGAAAAGGCTCCCGAGGGGAGAGGAAAAGGACATGCTCACAAGGCGGTAAATGAAGATGCAGAACAGGAGGCACATGAATACATACTCGTTTGAAGAAGTCTCGAAACGCATTTAAATCCACGAATAAGCGGGTTCGCGTACCGAGCATGCGACGAAGCCGAGGGTCAGAACAGGGACGTCTCGCGGCGACACGTGGAGAAGACCCGTTGGCTGTGGTGCCGACGACACCGATGCGACCATGTGCGACGCGTCCATGCGACTGCCGCATGTCGCACACTGCATGTGGTCTGCGAATCCGGAAGCGCCGCCTTTCACGCCCTCTGCGACACGCGTCGTCGCTGTGTGCCGTCGCTCAACGTCGCTTGCTATCGCTTTCGCATCGCTTGGTTGCGCGTCGTTAGTCCGTGCGACGTTGGAGCGTCCCGAAATCCATCGCGGGATCAGCATTGCCGGAGACGCGGGATTTGCACCTGACTCCTCGCTACGCACGTGTCCCGCTTCTATTGGCTTAAACCGTTTTCCTCGGCTAAACTCCAATGAATGCGCTAGTGGAGTTGAGCGGATGCGGGGCGAAGCGCGGGAAAGAGAAAACGGCGGGTTTTGAGGCGCGTCGAAAGCGGGTGGGATAGCGGCTCTGATGGTTGATCTGCTCCTCGGCGCCACTCGCGCCGGGAGTCTCGGCGAGGCGTGCTGTGGTGCGCGTTTCGCCAGTTGGCAACGGCATGCTCCGTTACTGACTGAATCCGCTATACGCGTTATGGCGCTGGACGACATTGCACTACAGGCAACACCGGGTTTGATAAAAACCAGTAATAGATAAGCGGTTTCTTGAGCGCTTCTCACGCGCCTTTGGATGCTTTCGCGTCGAGCAAAATCTATTCGGATATCTTTCGAAGTCGGACCCTAGCGACAGTTTCGACGCGAAAAAGGCACCTCACGACACACGGGAAGCAACCAAAACAGAAGCGAGCCAGAACAGGCGTACAGGCTGGTACCAAAAATGGCGAGGGCAGGGACATGGAATAGAAAAGCTAGTGTGCGACAAGTTCGAGTGAGGAGTATTGTGGAGTGGAGTGAATGAGAAAGGCTGTTCCGCTTGAATGGAAGAGCACTGTGGAAGATTGAGAACGATTTTAGAACGATTGTAAGAGATAGCTCAGGCAGTGCAGGCGGTGTTGCTGAAGTCAGCTCATCAAGTTCGCTAGCTTTGTTTGTCAGGCGCTCGCGCGGGTCAGAGTGGGCGGTGAGCTGAAGGTGTTTTGGAGAGGAAGTGCTGAAAAGCGGGGCTCTCAGCAAGGCTAAATACGGTTAGAAACGTTTTGTTCAGGTAAAGAGCCTTAGAAAACGGTGTCACAACAGGGTTGAGTGTGAGGATGAACGCTGCGCAGAGTAACTGGGGCAAGAATTGAGTTGACGGCGAATCTGAGCCGTGCAGATTATGTCAAGAAGCGGGCGTCGTGTCACGGTGACCAGTCGCGCGATATCTTGACACATAACCATTGTGTCAGATCAGAGTCAGCGTACGCAAGACACAAGGTGGGATTGGCTGATGCCACATCACAGCCTTCTGGTTTACTCGCCGTGCTTCAACGCACGTACTCGGTAGAGATATAATGCAGATTTCGCGGACAGCGTACAGCGGTATCAGCCAACATTGCAAGTCGCTTCAACCATTTAAAATAACATCCATTAGACACCCCTAAATATGACCTAATAATTACTACAACTGTGTATTCTTTCATATAAAAACCTAAGGCTCCATCATGTCTCCAGTCTTATCCCGCGCAGCAGCAGCCCACGTGCGGTTACTCCATGCTCTTGTCAAATGATGCCCTCCATGCCTGTGCTTATGGTCCACTGGCCGTGCCTCATCAGGCATCGCCGGCACACTGTCAGCATTTGCCCCGGGGGCTGACGTGGCAGCAGCGGATTGGCTGACGCGCATGAAGGTGGGCTGGGAGGTGGAGGAGAGGAGGCGTGCCCACATGCGATCAGTGAGGGCCACGGACTTGGGGGCCGTCACTTGCTGTGGGCGTGGGGGAGTGAGAAAGTGGGGAGAGGGAGAGGGAAGAGGGAGTGAGGAACAGAGGGATGCGAGTGAAGGGCCATTGACTTGAGGCATGGTCTCCTGCTGTGAGGGGAGGGTGATGGGTAAGCAAGAAACGGCAAAGGGGTTTTGGGGAGTGATCAGTAGAATTGCAGGGGGGTGGAAGTGAGGGCAGGATGTGGGATGGGAGTGAGGTATGGAAATAAGAGTGAGAAAATGAAGGCAGCAGGAAGGCACGCACATTGACAGGGATGTAGCACTGTGTGCCGTTCACAGGCCCCACCACGAACCCCGAGACACCCGCCAGCCAGCCACAAGCAGCCAGTAGGCATGGGTGTGTGGAGAGTAGCATTCTAGAGCATTCAGAGTGGTGAATCCAGCAACGTACATTGACAGGGATGTAGCACTGTGTGCCGTTCACAGGCCCCACCACGAACCCTGAGTAGCCAGCCATGGCGCCGTGAATGGCCCCGTGTGCCAGCAGCGTGCAGTAGATGTTATCTCCAGCATTGGCTGGGATTGCACGAATCATGTATGTGGGGTCTGGGGGATGGAGTGAGGGGAGGAGGAGGGGGTAAAAAGGGGAAGAAGTGAAAACAACAGTGAAAGTAGGTGAGCAATGCAGTTGAGGCGCCATGAATGGCCCTGTGTGCCAGCAGCGTGCAGTATATGTTATCCCCTGCGTTAGCCGGGATGGCTCGGATCATGTATGTGGGGTCTGGTGGAGGGCAGGGGGGAAAAAGAGTGAAAATGGTGACCTTGAAATGCCGTGAATGGCCCCGTGTGCCAGCAGCGTGCAGTAGATGTTATCTCCAGCATTGGCTGGGATGGCTCGGATCATGTATGTGGGGTCTGGTGGGGGACGGAGTGGGGGAAAGAGAGTGGAGAAACGATGCTAGTAAGGTGCTGGGGATGGATCCGTGTGCCAGCAGCATGCATAAGATGTTGTTGTTAGTGTTAGCCCTCAATCTCACACTTTGTACTTGTACTTTTATCTCGGGGAACGGGGATTCGATTCGGGGAACGGGGATTCGATTCGGGGAACGGGGATTCGATTCGGGGAACGGGGATTCGATTCGGGGAACGGGGATTCGATTCGGGGAACGGGGATTCGATTCGGGGAACGGGGATTCGATTCGGGGAACGGGGATTCGATTCGGGGAACGGGGATTCGATTTGAGAAACGGGGATTCGATTCGGGGAACGGAGATTCGATTCGGGGAACGAGGATTCGATTCGGGGAACGGGGATTCGATTCAGGGAACGGGGATTCGATTCGGGGAACGGGGATTCGATTCGGGGAACGGGGATTCGATTCGGGGAACGGGGATTCGATTCGGGGAATGGGGATTCGATTCGGGAAATGGGGATTCGATTCGGGGAACGGGGATTCGATTCGAGGAACGGGGATTCGATTCGGGGAACGGGGATTCGATTCGAGAAACGGGGATTCGATTCGGGGAACGGGGATTCGATTCGAGGAACGAGGATTCGATTCGGGGAACAGGGATTCGATTCGGGGAACGGGGATTCGATTCGGGAAACGGGGATTCGATTCGGGGAACGAGGATTCGATTCGGGGAACGGGGATTCGATTCGGGGAACGGGGATTCGATTCGAGAAACGGGGATTCGATTCGGGGAACGGGGATTCGATTCGGGGAACGGGGATTCGATTCGGGGAACGGGGATTCGATTCGAGAAACGGGGATTCGATTCGGGGAACGGGGATTCGATTCGGGGAACGGGGATTCGATTCGGGGAACCGGGATTCGATTTGGAGAACGGGGATTCGATTCGGGGAACGGGATTCGATTCGGGGAACGGGGATTCGGGGAACGGGGATTCGGGGAACGGGGATTCGGGGAACGGGGATCCGGGGAACGGGGATTCGGGGAACGGGGATTCGGGGAACGGGGATCCGGGGAACGGGGATCCGGGGAACGGGGATCCGGGGATTCGGGGAACGGGGGTCCGGGGAACGGGGATCCGGGGAACGGGGATTCGATTCGAGAAACGGGGATTGGATTCGGGGAACGGGGATTCGATTCGGGGA